TGAAATAATTTCCAATATTTTTTATTGGTGGTTTATTCCTAGCTACGCATATAAGCGTTGCAACAATCCAAGACTATATGTTGCTGCGAACTATAGAAGTCATTCATCCGTGATTTGTACAAACACATATAAGCGTTGTCATATCTCATAAATATCCGTTGCAAGTTTGCAACGGTTATTCCTAGGTGTTACCAACACATATATAAGTGTTGCAACAAATCCTTACAACGTCATTTCTTGCAACGCATAATTAATGCGCTGGTATAGACCCCACCAACATATATATATGGACTTTTAGCAACACATATATGCGTTGTAAAAGGGGGTGTCATATTGTAGTGCATCTACCTTTTTTATGCTGTAACTGTTGCATCTGAATGTTTCAAATATAGATTGGGTGTTCACATAAGATGCGCGTGAGAAGCGGTCGGCGGCACGGATGACGTCCGGGGTGAGGCGGGAACACTATTTGTGCGTTCCCTCGTGCGTTTACTCCCTGTGCGGCGGAGTCAGGACGCTAGCAAGTCCATTGCGTTGTCGCTAGCAGGGCGGGTCTTGGTCTCTCTTGGGTGGGGCGCAATCTCGCTCGAACGAGGCTTCCGTCGCCGTTTCCTTGTCACCTTGTTGGAGTGGGGAGCAGAGATGGAGCCCGTTCGTAATCCGCCACATGTCGAAATCGACTAGGAACAAGGCCCTGCGTGGTGCACTCGTGCGTATAAATTCTGTCACGTACGTATGTGCGTTCTCCGCTTCGTAATCCGACAGCTTGTCGCGATCTCGGAGTCGTATGACTACGATGCATGTCTTTATAAAATAAAAAATATTTATATGGCCATCTTAATAATTTATATAATCAGCAAATCTGGCAGGTAGCTGCAGCCATCGACGTACGCGAATTAGAGATCCAGAAATACATATACGCAAATAAATACAGGGTGTGTTGTTATTCTTCGTCCTTTGACGAGCGAGATCGATGTCACAACCAGCGGCCACCGTGCCGGCCGCGCAGCAACCGCTGCGGCCGGGAGCACACAAGGAGCTGGGCGAGTTCGTGGACGTCGACCTGGGACAGCAGCCGTCGGCGCCGGCGGCAGGCTGCAGCAGCGCCGTGGGGCGCTTGTGTGGAGCGATCAGGGACCAGGTCTTAGGCTGCCTCTTCTCGTGTTTGCTGCGACCTCCGTGCGACGATAGGAACGAGGATTGAGAATTCCAATTCCAAGCTGACATCAAAACAGATAGAAGAGGACCAGCCTTAGAGCATGTACATGTACAATAGCGGTGAACATATATATGTGTGTGTGTACTATGATGACTTTCACTAGCTAGTAGGGAAAAAAAAAGCTGTGTGTCTCTGTCTTTTTAATTTTCTCCTGGTGCTTATATATGTACATAGAGTGGATACGGTGCTTATATTAGCTCCAGGTGCTTAGATATGCTAACAAAAAAGTAGTTATTAAGCTTATTTAAACACCTATTCGTTTTGAAAAGATTAGATTTCATGAATCATGATGTATAATATTTAGATGATGCAGCAGTATCTCTCTTTTTAAGCACTCACGTTACATGTGCCAGAGCGTGAAATACTCGTGAATTCACTTTCTTTTTGGTCAACCAGATCATCACCATCTTCAGCAGGGTCAAGAGCTATATACATGGACTGTACCGTATACCATGGGAGTGAACACTGTGGCTTGGCTCTAAGAGCATCTCCAAGAGTTCTCTAAATCTCCTTCTAATCCTTAAGTTTTAGAAAGATTAGAAAAAAAAACACTCTCCAACAACTCCTAATACTCCCTCCCTAAAATTTAGGCACTTGAAAAATCTTTCCCCGTTCTGCGTAACTTTACGCCGACGCGACCTCGCACGGATACAACTTCCCGCGCGGAGTCCTTCTTCCAGCTTGCCCTTCTTGGCGAGCGCGCGCCGGTCCACCACCTTCATGGCGTACTCGCACGCGGACGACCCTTCGGCGGCCTGGCTCTCGAGGCGGCACAGGTAGACGGTGCCGATGTCCCCGGCCCCGACGCGGCGGAGGAGCGTGAAGTCTTTTATTAGAAACCGTTGGAGATGTCTTTCTTTTTTCCTTCTAATATCTTTTTAAAAGTTTGGAAACTACACGTTTTTTAAAGGAAAAAATAAGAAACTCTTAAAGATGCTCTAACATATCATACTTCCTAATATAATAAATTAAAACGTCCTTCCTGCATGCGCGCTCTTGCAAACCCGAAGACTAGGCACCGATGCCACCGAGACGGATCGCAGGTTCAGTTTATGGAACAAAGAGGTATGCAGTGCTGGCTGTTTCTGGAACATATAGATTTTCAGGAGTTCAGCGACACAAAGCAAAACACACAACGGTCAATTTTGGTGACGAAGAATGTCGGCAGAGGCCTATACCTTTTCTGGCTTTCCTGCTCACTTTGCACACCTCCATGGGCCAAAGAAGCTAAACAAGTACGGAAATACTCAGGTGTGCCACCCGCGCAAGGAGAAGCTCCGGGCCTTGGAGCCGTAGCTCTCCGGCCTCGCCTCCTGCTACAGTTGGACAGTGATTTGTTTAGGCTATAAAAACACTTGTTTTGTCTAAAAACTTTCGCCGACACTTTTTTGGATGGAAGAAGAAACACCAACATTTAGAGTGTAGCCTTATGGTACTATTGGCGACAATTTGTGTGACCCTAAAAGATTATACAATTGCCAACACACAACGTGTTGTCAAAAACCTAGATTTACCAACACGTAAGTCTAGAGGAAAGTGGGTCATGGTGTAGTGTGCGGCGCCCCGATGCAAACGGTGGAGGAGGCCGCACTGGCATACCCGATGCATGTTTTAAGCGTACATCTTAAATATTTCAGATGTTTTAGATGTATGTTGCAAGTGTTTCGTATGAATGTTATAAAAGTAAATCGGGATGTTGTAATGGTTGCACACGTACGTTGCAAGCGTCTGTCCCCAATGTTTCATCTGTTTCCAGACATATGTTGCAAGTGTATGTTTCACACATATGTTGCAAGTGTTTTATCTGGATGTTGCGTATGTTTGCAATTTTTTCAAGTGTTTTCTTAGATATTTCAGACGCATGTTTCAAGTGTTTCATCTGTCTATTTTGTATGTTGCAAGTATTGCAAATGGATGTTTCAAAAGTACATCAGATGTTGCACATGAGATGCGCGTGGGAAGTGGGAGGGGACGCGAGCGGTCCCCGCGTGGGCCCCGCATAGGCACGGGTTACGCAGGCGCGGTCGAGCAACGTCCGAGCGACGACAGGCCCACGTGTGGACGCGCGAAAATGGCAGCCGCGGGCGTCCGGACGGGACGCTAGCAGTGCCGAAACAAGTATGAGTCCAGCCCGCTTGACCCATTGGTTCATGTCACCTCATTAAATAAAACTGGAAGAAGGTAAAAAAAAAATACTCTCTCCACTTCAACTATAGGTTGTATTATGATTAAAAGGGCGCAAATTTCATAAATTCTAACCGACCATTCTCAAATTTCATATATTGATTATGCTTGCAACAATAAAATAATCATGGTCGGAGTACACTTCTCCAAAATTTAATAAGCCTTGTAAAAATAAATGGAAAGAGTATGAAATATAGTGACAATAATAATATGTCATGGAAAGCCCCAACGCCAAATTCACATATTAAGATTCAAAATAGGATTTATATTTTACGTGCGTTTTTTTTATCAATGGCTTAACTAAAAGCATCTCCAACAGCGCCCCATTAAAACTCCCCAAATAATGCCTTGTTCATTTGATTTCAAAATCAAAGAGATTTGAGGGGGCTTAAGAGAGATTTTGACTTATAGGGGATTTAATCCCCTCGAGTTCCCTTGGTTTTGGGACCAAACGAACATACACTAAATTGGTAATGGGGCAACCGAAATACATCTTTTTAGATTATTGGATAGATGCTATCCTAGGCTCCTCTCGATGGTGATGGACCATCACCATTGGGGTCGTCACTCAAGGACTTTTGTTGGGAGTGGAAGATGTAGATCCTAGCACACTTCGCATATGAGGCAATGCTCTAGTTCGACAAAGCGAGGCCGCGAGGGTGTGCTGTCGGCACTCAAGCGCCCACACACTTGCTTCAATATCTTTACTGTGAAGCAGCCCTTCAGTCGCTCCCCCTCCTTCGCCTCCTCACTCTCCAATATTGCCGGTAATGTGGAAGAAGAATGTCCGATGAGTAATTGTTGGGATGAGTCTAACCTATTGTTGGAGATACAACTTCTGTTTGTTTAAGGAAAGACGATGAAGACGTTGGTGGACATTAAAAGATAGAAGAGCTATTGGGGACTCAAGTTAGAAAAAAGCTTCGTCTCTCCTAATATAACAATTTTATATATGACATAAGGTCATAAGACTAGTACTATAGGAGATAGTCAGAATTAAAGCAAATGTTTTATTGTGTGTTTGGTTCATGAGACCACGAGGGATGAGAAGGGGCGGTCTAGGTTTTGGTACAGAGTCGAGTGGGATGAGAGATATCCCTCTAGGGATCCTCCCGTCCCCTGAAATGAGGGAACAATGAGAGACGAGGTGGGATGAATGGGCCCATGAACCATTGCGATCCCAAAAATCAGGTAAAGAGGTTGATAGGTAGACCCTACATGTCAGATTTGCCATGCCAAATCTTTTGCTCTCAAAAGAAAAAAAAACATAAACCGTATCTTCTTCAACCACACGAAATAGAGTCGGTTCCATCCCTGGGTACTGTCCCACTATAACTTTGATGAAACAAACACCCGCAAGATGCCCATGAAATACGACCAAGTTTTTTTTTTTTTTTGAACTTGCAAATACGACCAAAAAGTTGTCTGTACAATTGACGCAACCATTATATGGGAGGCGTATTTCTTATATGCTCGACTCCCTCCCGTATTAAACCCTACCTACCTCCCCAGCAATGGCGGGAACCCCAATTTCAGTCCCCGCACTTCCCGCCTCCCCCTCTCCCTCTCCCTCCCCCTCCCATCCCCCAATCCGGCGATGAGCTCAGGCGGACGTGGCGGCAAGCGGCGGGGTCCCCCACCCCCCGCTCCCTCCGGGGCGGCGGCGAAGAGGGCCAACCCCAGCCCCGGCACGCCGCAGCCGCCTCCTCCCGCGGCGGGCGCGGCCGCCGCGGAGGAGGAGGACATGATGGACGAGGACGTGTTCCTGGATGAGTCCATCCTGGCGGAGGACGAGGCGGCGCTGCTGATGCTCCAGCGCGACGAGGCCTTCGCGTCCCGCCTCGCGCGGTCGAAGCGCCCCGCACTCCCCGCCGACCTCGCCGCCGGGTGCTCCCGCGCCGTCGGTACGACCCGGTCCCCCTTTTCTCTCCGGCGCTCACTCTCCTGATCCGGGTCTTAATGGATTCAGTGTCCCGAGATGGCTTGGTTGGGGTCTGGCAGGCTGCGTGGGGAGTGCGTTGGGGGTTTGGATTCAGTACTGCTTTGGCGGATTGAGAATGAATTGCTGATAACCAACTGTCATTTGGATAGGGTTCTCATATTTTTGGTAAAATGCTGTGTTAGTCAAGTTGCCTTAATGCGGTCTGGGGCTCGGCAAAATTTTGTGCACATATGTGGTTTCTCTTGGGATTTGTAGTGTTCAGGAAATTTGGACCATGGTCCTTTGGTGAAATTTTGGGCAAAAAACGAGCAACTATTATTTTGGACTAGTATGTGCGTTTGTATATCAGGTTGGCTAGTAAAGTTTATTGTTCGCCATTTTTTTGGATCCCTGGGTTGTTTAGGACAGGAAGAAAGGCACCTTTTCAGTATCTGGTGCACTTTAAAACTGTACTGTTTTTCTAATTATGAGTGATGCAACTAGCTGCAATTGATGAATCATAGATGTAAATTTCCAATCAAGGGTTAAGGGTTTTAACTTTTTAAGATGGGCACTCCCACCTTCCTACTTCCTAGAATTATCTCATAGACCTCTAATTTTTGTCTTGTACAATTTCATAGTCCTAGTTCAAAATTCTGCTTGTATCACCTGCCAATCTGAGATGGATATTATAATCAATCATGATAGAGAAGATCGTAAAATCACTTAGCAGTTTTCCAAATGTTGGTTTTTCTGAATTAATTTATGAAGTGAACCTATTTTCTATCGAACGCACATTTATATTTATATATATTTATACACTTTTGCACTTATGAGTTATGAGCTTTAAAAGTTTGAACTCAGGAGTCAGGACTTGCTTAACAGTCCTCTTGTACATGCTCAATGCTCATTCAGATTCAATGTTTCTTGCTAATTAAATAGATAGTCACCTAGTTTTGTTTTAATTTGAACTTGTATGAACATATATTCAGAATATTTGGCTTCATCTTACATTTGCTACTCTTCTGTTTGTATTGGATATTCTAGCTTTTCAGCAGTTGGAAATAGATTATGTTATTGGTGAGAGCCACAAAGAATTGCTCCCCAACTCATCTGGTTCGGCAGCCATACTAAGGATTTTTGGTGTTACAAGAGAAGGTAATATCTCGAGTCTATTATCTCTCAGTAAAGAATTATTAGTGCCATATGGTTTTTGCCGACCTCTGATGCTATCCCTGTAACATTTGTAGGTCACAGCATATGCTGTCAGGTGCATGGATTTGAGCCATATTTCTATATTGGCTGTCCTTCAGGGATGGGTCCTGATGATATATCGCGCTTTCACCAAACACTAGAGGTTTGTACTTACAATCATACCTAACTGAGCTTCTAAGGAAACATAGTACTTTGGCAGTACATAGTTTCCTTATGGTTTCTTCAAACTGTACTACAGGGGAGGATGAAGGAGTCAAATAGAAGCAGCAATGTTCCAAGATTCGTGAAGAGAGTTGAGCTTGTGCAGAAGCAGACAATTATGCATTACCAAACACAGCAATCTCAGCCTTTCCTCAAGATAGTAGTAGCTTTGCCTACCATGGTTGCTAGCTGTCGTGGTTAGTGGCACCCTTAAGACACAATACAGCTATTATTGCTAAGTCTTGTAGATTGACCTTACTATCTTTTCTTTATTTAATGGATAACCTACAGAACATTTTTTGTTATATGTCAATGTATTATCATGCAATGTTATGATCTTTACTTTATTCCTCTGATCATCCAAGTTACTAGTCGCTTTTTTCCCCTCTTTGCTGGCTTAAATGGCATATGTTTGCACATTATAGGTATTCTGGAAAGGGGCATAACAATTGAAGGCCTTGGTTCAAAGAGTTTCCTTACATATGAAAGCAACATTCTTTTTGCCCTTCGATTCATGATTGATTGCAATATTGTTGGTGGCAACTGGATTGAACTTCCTGCTGGGAAATACAGGAAAGCAGCCCGTGTCATGTCCTATTGTCAGCTAGAGCTAGATTGCCTGTATCCTTCTATACTTAATTGAATGCTTCATCTATTTACTAAACTGTAATGTTGTTCAGTTATGTCTATTCTTAACACAACTAACAGATACTCAGATCTGGTAAGCCATGCTGCTGAAGGAGAATATTCTAAGATGGCCCCGTTTCGCATATTAAGTTTTGATATTGAATGTGCTGGTCGCAAAGGTCATTTCCCAGAACCAACTCATGATCCTGTTATTCAGGTTGAGTTCATTATTCATGTATCTGATACTTGGTACCATTTAGTTTGAATACAGGTCTTTATGTTTACAATTTATTGACTTACCCCTTTGAATTTAAATAGATAGCTAACTTGGTTACACATCAAGGAGAAGGCCAACCTTTTGTACGGAATGTCATGACTCTTAAATCATGCTCTCCCATTGTGGGAGTCGATGTTATGTCATTTGATACAGAGAGAGACATTCTACTTGCATGGAGGGTAAGTGCTGCTGTCTTTGGAGCTGTCAAATTCAGTTGAACGTGATGCCTTTATATTTTCTGAAAACGAATTTATAGTGCCTTTATCCATGATGTTTTCTTCATGTCCCTGTGTTGGTTTCATTCTCTTTGCCTTTTGTATCTACATTTTGTATTTGGTTACCTTTTCACTTGCCATATGCGGTTAACATTTTTTTTTGCTAAAACTAAATATCATTGTCCATCAAAAGAAAAAAGTTAAATCACACTTATTTCTCAAAAGGAGAGAAGTTAAATACAGTTTCTGATTGTAGACAAAGGACTTACTGAAAGATAATCTGATTGTTATTTGGAAATAATTTGCAGGATTTCATACGTGAAGTGGATCCGGATATCATAATTGGATACAATATTTGCAAATTTGACATGCCCTATCTTATTGAGGTTCAATAACGTCTGTAGAGTATTCAGATTCTCAACTTGACAATCAGCCATATTTAGTACAATTTGATTACACATTTGCAGAGGGCTGAGGTTCTCAAGATAGCGGAGTTTCCAATACTTGGCCGAATCAGAAATAGTCGCGTTCGTGTCCGTGATACGACCTTTTCTTCGAGGTCACTTCTTGTACCTCTCCTCTATGCATTTAATATATATTACTTTGCCTTTATCATCCAATTGTCTTACTCAATAAAATATTTGTTATATATTCTGTAGTCCCTTTATATTCACATATTTATACAATTTCCTTTGTGTGTGTCGGGTGGGGTGTGTGTGTGGGGTGCTAGCATATCATTGGAGCACTATGCTGCTTAGTTTTATTGTCTGCTTGCATGTGCATCTCATGTTTTCATTTTTGTGCTTTATTTGATTCTAGCGATGCATCTATTATTCTGATTCTGAGTTAGCTGCCATACAAATCTTGTTCATTTGTCTTACAGGAGAGAAGTCGCTTATTTTTTTTAGAAGTTATGGTACCCTATAATGAGCTGTAGTGTGTTCATATTTCATACATTTAATTCACAGTTTCTATGGTTAGTCATATTTCCTGCATCATGATACCACTGTATTTCTGTCTCTTAGCACAAACATGTTTGAAATTTGTGATCCATAGAGAGCTTTAGGCTCCGCTGGTTCTACGTCATGTCCAGGGTTTTCACAATCCTCAGTTCCCAACTCTTTACAGTTTACATGTCTCAATTCCTTCCATTTTTGTCACTTATTTAATGAATGTTAATGCTTTGGACTTTCTCGACTTGCAAGTTACAATTGGAAATGAAAGTCATCATGTAAAATAGAAATGAAAATGAAAGATTTTTTCAAGTTGTTTTTACGTAAAAAGAAAATACTGATGAGGTTGTTGTACTTATCCAGTGCAATATGGTGTGCGTGAAAGTAAGGATGTTACTATTGAAGGAAGAGTGCAATTTGATCTCCTGCAGGTTGTGATCTACTTTTGCTTGGCAATTAAATCAGTGTTTGCTGTTTTCATGAGATTATTTCATATGTTTCTTTATCTTCACTAACTGGATATGATGCAGGCTATGCAACGGGATTACAAGCTGAGTTCTTATTCATTGAACTCTGTATCGGCACACTTTCTTGGGGAGCAAGTAAGTTCAAACATTTCAAGTGCTCTATGTTGCTTTCAGTCATTGTACTCGTAATCATTTTGATGCCTTTCTGTCGGAAGTATTTTTTTGTGTTTGATCAGTGTTAGTTTTGGCTTGGGATAAAAGACTTTGCTGTCTTTCTTATTGTTGCTGTTGGTGGTGTTGACTCTATATTTCTGATTGCATGGCATGTCTTCAGTCTTCTAGAAAATTGGTGTTCTTTGCAAAATTACCTATGTAGATGGATTTTTTTGGTATCCATATGATTTTTGCTACTATTTACTAACAATGATTGATTCTAATATTCTTTCCTTCACTTGAGAACCCTTTCCTTTTCTTTCCTAATTATTGACTTTTTGAGTAGAAAGAAGATGTTCATCATTCAATTATATCTGATCTTCAAAATGGAAACTCAGAGACACGAAGGCGGCTTGCAGTTTATTGCTTAAAGGTCAACTAAATACACCCTTTTGTTTTAATTGTTACTGAACTGGTGATGTTTTACAAAGAGTATGTTGGTAAGTTGTGGCCACTTTGTTATTATTGCTGATGGAGCTTTTAAGTGGCGCCCCAGAAGCATCTGGACCAATTTTTCCAAATAAATAAATACTTATATTGCTCTACACATCACTTTTAACATTACCAAGTACAATGTCAATGTTTGAGCACCAATTTTGCATTTTGGAAATTTCTCAGCAACACTAGGGCTTTGGAAAATAGTTACAGTATATTTGTGTGTGTTCTTTTCAATTTCCTACTGGCCAGCAGTTTGCCAATAGCTATTTACAAGCTAGCATGAAACAGTGCCATTATTGATTTCACTGTATCAGCTGATTTCTCTCTCACGAGAAAAATGTGTAAGCTGATTTGTAGCATTTTTCTTGGAGCCTACATAAACCAGTTTTGACTTTTGCCTTTGTAAAAACAGGATGCTTATCTTCCTCAAAGACTGTTAGATAAATTGATGTATATCTACAACTATGTGGAAATGGCAAGGGTCACTGGTGTTCCCATTTCGTTTCTACTTTCGAGGGGACAAAGTATTAAGGTGAGAACAAGCCAATGATGCTATTGAAAGTATCACATTCTAGTACCCTAAAAATAGTTTCATTTGTACCACAGGTCCTCTCGCAACTACTCAGGAAAGCAAAACAGAAAAACCTTGTTATACCAAATATCAAGGGTCAAGGGTCAGGGCAAGATACCTTTGAGGGTGCAACTGTAAGTGGAAGGACAATATCTGCACACTTGTAGCCCATTTGTCATTTCCTGTCCACAGCTATTGCAGTTATTAGGATATTTCTATTTGTCTATTGCAAACTTTTTAGTTTGCTCTGTACACTGAAACTATCTTTGCATTGCTTGCCTTGAAATGAGGGTATAGATATTTGTCATTCCAAGCTAAAAAAAAATCTAGATGACGAGTTAAGATATCCATACTTATTGCAAATTTGTTCTTGATGCCTTTGGAAGTGAAATACATATGCAGGGTTTTCCACTCTAGAAACATGCTTTTGTGTATGCCATCAATCTTTCCATCTGGGAAGCAAGAAATTTTCATCAATTTCCCCACCACCTTCTGAATTGATCATGCAATGAACAATTTAGTTTTATTTCCTTTGTACTATAAGGATTTGCTGTAATCTATGTCCCCTGCAATTTTTAGGTTTTGGAGGCAAGGGCTGGATTTTATGAGAAGCCCATCGCAACTTTGGACTTTGCTTCTCTGTATCCATCCATCATGATGGCATATAACCTTTGCTACTGTACCTTGGTAATTTTCCTGGTGCTTATATAGCTATAATTATTGCTGCATGCTCTAAAAAGGACCTTTGGTCTCTAAAATGGATGACAATTTACTAGGTTTTATTTAATTTTTAAGGTGCCCCTGAGGACGCCTCAGAACTCAACTTACCTCCGGAAAGCCTCAATAAAACCCCATCTGGTGAAATATTTGTGAAACCAGAACTACAGAAGGTAATTGCATCCTGTCTTGATAATAGGTGTTCTGGACAGAAGATGTGTTTTCTAACCAAGATTATGAAAACAATATCAGGGTATACTTCCTGAGATCCTTGAAGAATTATTAGCAGCTCGGAAAAGGGCAAAAGCAGATTTAAAGGTATTTTTCTCAATGCATCTGTAAGAAAATTGTACTCCCTCCATTCTAAATTGTAAGTTGTTTTGGCTTTTCTAGACAAATTGTAAGTCCTCTTGGCTTTTCTAGATACATAGTTTTTTACTATGTGTCTAGAGATAGCGTATATCTAGGTGCATAGCTAGCTGTGTACCTAGAAAATCCAAAACGACCTATAATTTAGAACGGAGGCAGTATTAAAGATCTTCCACTCGTGCAAAAGCTAGATATTCATGCAGTGCTAAGTCTTTGTCCCATGTTAAAATCGCCAATTATTTGTTCAGGAAGCAAAGGACCCACTTGAAAGGGCTGTTCTTGATGGTCGTCAGCTTGCACTGAAAGTACTTCCATATCTTTTCACCCTTTATTCCATCAAAACATCGATTCAAATTTGAGCTACTTGAATAATGACATTGTTGAATTGCTTATGTTTCAGATAAGTGCAAACTCAGTTTATGGTTTCACTGGAGCAACTGTTGGTCAGTTACCTTGCTTAGAGATTTCTTCAAGTGTGACCAGCTATGGTAAGCCTTAGTTTCACTCAACATAATTAAGAAATTCATTGTATGGTTTGCTAGCAATTTCGATGTCGAGTTTCTTGCACTGAAGCATTTTGGTCACACAGGACGACAAATGATTGAACATACAAAAAAGCTTGTTGAAGATAAATTCACAACAGTAGGAGGTTATGAGCATAATGCTGAGGTAAAGTAGTGTTGCATTATTCTTATACAAATATGTTAGATCCCTGTTAATTTTTCTGCTTGATCTCACAGAGTTCAAGACTTCAGCTTTGCCCTTGTACAATGTGATACCTTGTATCTTCATGATTGATCTATGAGTATTGCAGCCCTATGATATCTGATGTTCTAGGGACATCAATTGAAAAGCAACTCAATACATATATAAAAGGTTCAACCCATGCAAACCACCATCTAAAAATTGACACTATACATTGGGCACACGTAAATTTGATTCCATTAGCTAGACATCAGCATAGTGACACTGAATTAGAGCTTCACCGTGCACTCAAGGACCTCAAGACCTTATTCACATGATATCTTGCCCTCCCATGTTCAATTTCTTGGAAGTCTAGTTATTAGCACTGTAATCAGTTTTTCATCAGCAAGCTTTCTTGTTTGCTTATTTTTTGGGTTTGAAGATGCCTTTCACTCATTTTCTGATACTGATACAGCAAATCTGGTGACTTCGCAGGTAATTTACGGGGACACTGATTCTGTGATGGTACAGTTTGGTGTTTCTAAGGTTGAAGATGCAATGAAGTTAGGAAGAGAAGCTGCAGATTATATTAGTGGAACCTTTACCAAGGTGAACAGAGAAACACTTACAAACATGAGGCTTTGGAACTGAGTTATACAGCATTTGAGTTGAACATTGGCTTGTCTGTCCTCATTGTAGAATCGTCGTAATTGATACTACATTCATGACCTTTTTGCGATCAAGCTTCAATCATGACCTCACTGAAACTTATTTGGAACAGTGAAACCTGTTATGAGAATGCTCCTTTTTATAAGGAAAAAAAAACCTGAACCCTTAAACATCTAACTGCAAGGTTACTGCCTCTTGTAGTAGTTTCTAGCTTTATTAACTCCAATTCTTACCTGGTAAGCTATCTGTTCTAATCTGTCTGTCTGTACTTTTCTTCCTATCTGGCCAAATATAGGAAATTTCAAACAGTGTGATCAAAATAGAGTGAAAATTTTGTCCACACTCCTTTTAGAAGAACAAAACACTACCCATAACTTTTATTGTATTACAAAGCAACTACCTTTTCTAACTGTAATTTTTGTGATGCCCTAGGTAGTTCCTTGATTTATCTTATAAATGGTGCACCTCTCTTTACTATGCCCATTCACAAGAGCCGTTTGGGACCAAGTGCTGTCCTGGGAAAACTGCAGTGTCTAACTCCCACAGCAAGACCCCATGTGCATTGCCAAATGGTGGGAGGAGGCAGCAAGCAAAGGCGCCAAAGCAGGATCAAGGCGGTTCAATGGAATCCTCATTTACATTGTATGTGTTAGAATAGGCGCCCTAATGGGCTGGGTTTGGGCTCGGCGCCTAGCCTGTTAGGGCTGGCTGCCTTAGGGGTTAAGATAGATAGATTACATTGATAAGGCAAGGATCACCGTTGATTGGGTGTTTCTATAAACTCTATTGATCCTTGCCTATATATTGTACCCTGTACTGCTGCTAATCTATAGACCTGTTTGGCATGGCTCCACTCCTAAACTCCAGCAACTCCATAAAAAAATCCAGCCAAACACCCCAACTCCGAAACTCTATGGAGCTGCCGACTCCATGGAGCTGTAGTACAAATGGAGGTGGAGTTTTGAAGCACCTCTTTTGCAGCTCCAAAACCACTCAATATGAACCTCCTCGTGGAGTTGGTGGGAAATTACCCACCACTGCCACTGGTTACACAGAAAAACGGTTCGATTCTATTTCTCCCGAGCCCCCCGCGCAGTGACTCCCTCCCTCCCGCGCCGTCGTCTTCCTACCCCGCTGTCATGGGTGGCCGCCGAGCTCCTCAGCGACCGAGCCCTCCCCCTCGCCTCGCCTTACAAAAGCACGCCTGAGCTCCGCGCGGCCATTTCCCTCCCGTCGAGCGCGGCCGTTTCCCTCCCGTACTGAGCGCAGCACGGGAGTGGCTCCTCCGAGCTCACCGGCTGGCGCACAGGCCCGATGCCCGGCGATGTAGATCCCGCGCGGGCACGATGCGGACGCGGCGGCTCCCCCTTCCCGATGGCCGGCGGCGCAGGGGCCGCGCGGACGCAGCGGCTCTCCCCTTCCCGATGGCGGGCGGCGCGAGAACGTGACGCGGATGCGCACAGGCCCGATGCCCGGGCGACGCAGATCCCGCGCGGACACGATGCGGACGCTGGGCGGCTTCTTCCCGACGGCCCGGCGGCGTTAGGGGCAGCATGGACGCAGCGGCTCTCCCCTTCCCGATGGCCGGCGGCGCGAGAACGTGACGCGGATGCGCACGACTCCTCCCTTCCAGATGGCCGGCGCCACACGATGCAGTCACTGACAGTGGGACCCACAAGCAGGGCAAGAATGGCAATCTACCCTCAAACTCCTCTTTTTTGGAGCTAGGGACACCCTCCCAGCAAAACACCTCCATCAGACAGTTCTAACTCCACCCAGAGCTGACTCCACCTGGAGTTCTGGAGTGGAGTAGCTCCACCCAGAGTTGGAGCCATGCCAAACGGGGCCTATCAATCAATTCCCGAGACCTATTCGCTCTCATGGTATCAGCCGCCTAGGTTTAGGTCTCCTCTTCCGCTGCCACCCACGCCACGGCCCCTCGCCCGCGCACGCCTGCGCCGCCACGGTGCAGACACACCAGGTTGCGCCACCATGCCCTCCACCGCTCCAGCAACCCCCAGGGCTGGGGACGATCTGGCCGCCTCCTCTGCCACCATCCAGGAAGACGCCGTCGCCGAACGCCTCGCCGCGGAGAAGGGCAACGAGGCCGCCGCCGCCGCTTTCAAGATCTCGAAAAGGAAGGCCAGTCGCTGGCGATGTTGCTTTAGCTCGCGCCCTACTGAGCCGAGGAGGAGGCCATGGCCCGCAACTAAGGATCGCGACGCGCCGCCCTTAGCAGCTTAGTGAGGCACTGGCGCGCGCTGCCAAGGAGCGGGCGGCCGCTGCCGCCGCCGTTGCTCCAGAACCCTCTGGCGCCACACCTGGAGGCACTTCAGCGCCGCCACCCGATCTTCGGGCTGCCATGCTGCATCACGAGGCCGTTGCCCTCCATGCTCAGGCTGTTGCAGTCAGCAACATCCGGAACCACGTCACCACCATCCTCGACGTCGATTCCGGTAACTTCAACCGCTGGCGTGATCAGTTCCTTCTCATCCTCGGCAAGTTCTCCCTCCAGGATCACGTTCGAGAGGAACCTTCAGCCCCAATTCCTCCTGATTGGGCCCGGATGGACTGCGTCGTCAAGTCCTGGATCGTCGCCACGCTCACCGACGACCTTGGCGAGATCATCTCCGCCCAGGGCTCCACCGCTCGGCATGCCTGGCTCGCCGTCGAGTCGCAGTTCCTTGGCAACCGTGAGGCTCGCTCCATCCACCTCGAGACACGGTTTCGCAACCTTGTCCAGGGCGACCTCTCCATTACCGACTACTGCCGCAAGCTAAAAAAGATGGCCGATGATCTCACGGCCCTTGGCGAGGTCGTCACCGACCGCACGCTCGTCCTCAACGTGATCCGCGGCCTCAACGAGCGCTTCAACCATGTTGGGACGCTCCTTCGTCGAGCTCGACCGTTCCCCACCTTCCTGGAGGCTCGTGACGACCTCATCCTTGAGGAACTCACCATGGAGACCCGCAAGGACGCACCTGCCACTGCGCTCGCCGCCTCCACTCCCAGCCCTGCCCCTGCGTCCTCCGGCACGGGCGCTGGTGGGCACTCCAAGCCGCCTAACAACCGTCGCAGCAAGCGCGGCGGTGGCGGCAAAGGCAACAGCGGTGGTGGCCCTCCTGGACAGGGGTCACGCCCCACTGGTGGCGCCCAACAACAGCAGTAGCCGGCCGGCGGGCGGCCATGGCCCAGCGTCTACAACCCCTGGATTGGAACCATTCAGATGTGGCCAGGGGGACCTCGTCCACCGCTGGCACCCATCCCAGTTCCTCCTCACCAGCAGGCGCAGCAGCAGGCACAACAACAGGCACAACATCACGCGCAGCAGCAGGCCTTCCTCGCCCAACAGCAGCAGCACGCCCTTGCTGTCCACCAGCAGGCCGCTGCCCTCCCTGCTCCTGATGGCTCTGGACAGTGGGTCGCCCCCGGGTATTACAACCCGGTGGCTGGCCTCCCCTCTTGGGACCCGACGGCCCTCGCCTCCGCTTTCAGCACAACGTCGCTGACCCCTCCTACGTCCAACGAGTGGTACTTCGACTCAGGTGCTACTTCACATATGACATCTCAGTCCTCTCTTTCACATGTTCTTCTCCCATGGTACCCTACTCCTTCATCCATTGTTGTCGGTAATGGCTCTCTTCTTCCTGTCACTGCCACTGGCTCTACAGAGTTGTCTCGTAATTTACGTCTTAATAATGTCCTTGTGTCGCCACAAATTATTAAGAATCTTATCTCTGTTCTCCAATTTACTACCGACAATAATTGTTCTGTTGAGTTTGACCTCGCTGGTTGTTCTGTGAAGGTTCTTCCATCTCGGATCGAGATCGTCAGGTGCAATAGCTCTGGGCCGCTATACCCTCTGCGCCTACCCAAGTTTTTGTCTGCAGGAACACCACCCAGCACTGCTGATGTCTCCAGCGCCCCTGCCGGTCCCACCGCGACTGTGCCTGAGGCGCCCCTGCCTGCTGATGATCCACCGGCGCCCGCGCTCTACATTCCACCAGCGCTGCGGGCGTCGGGGACACCTACCGCGCCACGCGCGGCCACGGCGTTGCCCAACACGCCTGGAGAGGCCTCCCCGCTCTACATCCCGCCTGCCCTGCGTGCAGGCACAGGACCCCCGCCTGGGTTCCCACCTCTCCGATCGGATCGGGCCTTCACGTACCACTAACACGCGTCGCCTCCGACCGCTGGCTCCGCCTGTACCAGCCGCCCCACACCGCCTGCTCCGGCTGCGCCTGCATCGGCCGCCCCGCTACCCAAGGGCGCCGTTGCTGTCATTCCAGTGACGAACCAGCACGCTATGAGCACGCGGTCGAAGAGCGGCTATCGGATGCCTGCCTCCTACCACGCCGCCCCCTCTCTGCAGTGCCCAAGACCTTTCGTAGCGCTCTCGCTGACCCCAATTGGCGAGCGGCTTTGGAAGAACACAGTGCTCTCTTGCAGAATCACACTTGGGACCTCGTGCCTCGACCTCCTCGGGCCAACGTCGTCATTGGCAAGTGGATTTTCAAGCACAAGTTTCAGTCCGATGGCACCCTTGAGCGGTACAAGGCACGCTGGGTTCTTCGTGGCTTTACCCAGCGGCCTGGTGTTGACTTCGATGAGACGTTCAATCCTGTGGTGAAGCCCGCTATTGTCCGCACGGTGCTCTCCTTGGCGCTCTCTCGCACCTGGCCCATCCACCAGCTAGATGTGAAGAACGCCTTCCTTCATGGCAATCTATCTGAGGTTGTGTATTGCCAGCAGTCGTCCGGGTTCGAAGATCCAGCTCACCCGGACTTTGTCTGCCTTCTGAAGAAAATCCCTTTACGGCCTGAAGCACGCTCCTCGCGCATGGTACAGCCGGATGGCCTCGTTCCTACTGTCTATTGGGTTTGTTGAAGCCAAGTCAGACACCTCACTTTTTATTTACCGGCGTGGATCAGATACAGCCTACCTGTTGCTCTATGTGCATGACATTGTCCTCACAGCTTCCTCACCCGGTCTCCATCGGCGGATTATCTCAGCGCTTCAGCAGGAGTTCGCCATGAAAGACCTTGGTGCATTGCATCACTTCCTTGGTATGCAGGTTCAACGAAGTGGTGATGGCTTCCTCCTCTCACGGCGACAGTATATGCTGGACATTCTGGAACGTGCAGGAATGACAAAGTGCAAGCCGTGCTCCACTCCAGTTGACACCAATCCGAAGGTTGCTGCAGCTGATGGGGCCCCTGTGTCTGATGCTACAGACTTCCGCAGCCTTGCTGGAGCTCTCCAGTACCTGACGTTCACCCGCCCAGACATTTCATATGCAGTTCAGCAGGTCTGCCTCCACATGCATGATCCTCGTGAGCCTCACCTTGCTGCCCTAAAGAGGATTCTTCGCTACGTTCGAGGCACTCTCTCCTGCTGCGACCGTCTACTTCGACTGATCTTGTCGTCTACACCGACGCTGACTGGGCTGGTTGTCCGGACACTCGCAAGTCCACCTCAGGCTATGCGGTGTTCCTTGGCGACAACCTTGTTTCCTGGTCCTCGAAGCGCCAGAACATAGTGTCAAGATCCAGTGCTGAAGCCGAGTATCGCGCGGTGGCCAACGGAGTTGCAGAGGCTACTTGGCTCCGCCAGCTACTTCTGGAGCTGCATGCCCCTCTACGACGCGCCACACTGGTGTATTGTGACAACATCAGTGCCGTCTACATGACCTCCAACCCGGTTCAGCATCAGCGCACCAAGCACATTGAGATCAATCTTCACTTCATCCGGGAGCGAGTCGCCGTTGGTGATCTTCGTGTTCTGCATGTTCCCACCTCTTCGCAATATGCAGATATCTTCACCAAAGGGCTGCCTACTTCAGTTTTCACGGAGTTTAGGTCCAGTCTAAACGTGCAGAGTGGCTGACGATTCGACTGCGGGGGCGTGTTAGAATAGGCACCCTAATGGGCTGGCCTTGGGCCTGGCGCCTAGCCTGTTAGGCTGGCTGCCTTAGGGGTTAAGATAGATAGATTACATTGATAAGGCAAGGATCACCGTTGATTGGGTGTTTCTATAAACCCTATTGATCCTTGCCTATATATTGTACCCTGTACTGCTGCTAATCTATCAATCAATTCCCGAGATCTATTCGCTCTCACTATGGAACTTGTGGAAGGAGAGGAATAGGAGGATCTTCGAAAAGGAACACAAAACGGTCTAGCAGGTGGCCTCATTGACAAAAGAGGATATCATGCAAAGACGCAGGGCTGTATCCTTTGATGGGTAAACACCATTAGCGGTGTGACAGGCTTGTCCTCTTCTGGTCCTAGGACCGTAGTGTTTGGCACCAGGGGGTGCCTTCTGTACATAAACTTCTTTATCCTTACTTAATTGAGCGGCAGAGCTCCTGCCTTTTATTTCAATTGTATTATAAATGAGCACTAAGAGTTATCTGATCTTTTCATGTTATATTCCTGTTGCGCATATTTTTATAACTTAAGTCAACTGACCTGGATGCCAATTTTTCTGAAATGATATGTAACGTTTCTAGCTAAGCTTTCGTTTGCTTTTCATCTAAGTTCCAACTCACATGATGCTTATGATATCTTTCTTGCAGCCCATCAAGCTGGAGTTTGAGAAGGTCTATTTTCCTTACCTTCTGATCAGCAAGAAGAGATATGCTGGTTTGTACTGGACGAACCCTGAGAAATTTGACAAAATGGATGCAAAAGGTATTTATTTTTGTTTTAGCTGTGTAAAATATAAATTATTTTCATTGGGTGGAGCAGACATGTTAACGATTCTTGCTTCCAAATGTCTTGTATTGTTGCATGCAGGTATTGAAACTGTGAGAAGGGACAACTGTTTATTGGTAAAGAACCTGGTAACTGAGTGCCTTCATAAAATACTGGTGGACCGTGATGTTCCTGGTGCAGTCCAATATGTCAAAAACACCATATCTGATCTATTAATGAATCGTGTCGACTTGTCTCTTCTTGTCATAACAAAGGTGGGCAAATTCAGCTGTCTTAAGATGAATTTTCTATTCTATCTTGCGACTCTTTTTACTGTTTAAGCTGCACAGGGTTTGACAAAAACGGGAGAAGATTATGCTGTAAAAGCTGCTCATGTGGAGCTTGCTGAGAGGATGCGAAAGGTATGAACCCTAGATGTTATTACCATATCTTGATGATATTCAACCCATTCTTAATGATATGGTGTCTTACTGCTGCTGAAAAATCATGGTTTTCTTGAGCAGAGAGATCCAGCTACTGCACCTACTGTTGGTGATCGTGTTCCTTATGTTATAATTAAAGCAGCAAAAGGGGCAAAGGTAAATAAACATCTGCATCATGTGCTACGGTATTATTTGTCATATGGTGGTTGCATGTTTGATACATTTGTCTTTCTGCATGCAGGCATATGAGAAATCAGAAGATCCAATTTATGTTTTGGACAATAATATACCCATTGATCCTCAATACTACCTTGAGAACCAAATTAGCAAGGTTTGTGTCTGATGCTTCACCTGGTATTCAGAGCTTCCCTCTGCTTTCCCAAAAAAATATGTAACTGACCACTTGTCAATCGGCAGCCACTTTTGAGGATCTTTGAGCCAATTCTGAAGAATGCCAGCAAAGAATTGCTTCATGGAAGCCACACCAGATCTGTTTCAATCTCAACTCCTTCAAATAGCGGGATAATGAAATTTGCAAAGAAACAATTAACTTGCCTTGGGTGCAAAGCTGTTATCAGGTGATGCATGCACAACACTGCAGATACAAAAACCTATGCAACCAGTGTCTAAACGCCTAACTGTTTTTCCTGCATTTTGAACCTGCAGTGGTGCCAGTCAGACACTTTGCTCACATTGCAAGGGAAGAGAAGCAGAGTTATACTGCAAAACAGTAGCAAATGGTATGTGCTGTACACTCTGAAGTGCATCTATGTTTGTAAGCACTATGCCCTCGAGCTCACCACTGACAGATCAAATTTTGACTTTTGCAGTTTCTGACCTGGAGATGCTCTTTGGGAGGCTATGGACACAATGCCAGGAGTGCCAAGGATCTCTGCACCAGGACGTTCTCTGTACAAGGTTTGCTGTTTTCCACTCAATTCAGCACTTGCTCATTACTTTGTTCCAGTCACAATCTTAAAACCTCCTGTACAATCGAATCACTGCAGTCGGGATTGTCCGATTTTCTATCGGCGAAGGAAGGCGCAGAAGGATATGGCCGAAGCTAGGCTGCAGCTTGACCGGTGGGACTTCTGAGCTTGTAAATTCTCACACCGGATGCCTGCATCTGCTGTGGATATATTGCTGGGGAGGGCAGGAAGCTACCGTTGACCGCATCACGATGCCTGTGAAGATGAGACTGGACTTTTGCGAGCATCCATGCACACTTGCGTCCGTGTCATGTAGGCTGGCTCGCCAGTACGATTCACTGGCACGTTTGCTGTTTATGTTTTGAGTTGTAGTTTAGGTGTGGGTTGGTAGATGGTAGGAGGTTTGTCTCCTTCCTGTGGCTAGTGCCGAGAAAGAATGCTTGCTCCTGAAGTGAGGTGATGCTGATGTACAAGGCAGAAGAATTCTGGAGCAGTTCACCTTGTAAGATGTAACCTAGTGAGACGAGACAATTTGGAGGCCGCATGAATTCTTCATCTGTCTCAATTCTCATGCTGATCGTGCAATTACCGACTGGGAACAATAACCGGGAACCGATACTGTTGCTTGGAGCTAAAACTTGGTGCCGTCATTAGTTTCAGTATATATAAAAATTGAACCAATGTGGTGATTGTACGAAAATGCTATCGGCAATCTGTTATTACGAACGTTGGTACGAACATGCCGCCATTTGTTGTTCTGAACGATCCTACATGGATGGTAACTCAGCTACATCTGGTGATAGAATTTCTTGATAACAAATGTTTCTCTGTAATTCTCTAGGATAAATCTATGCGTATAATAGCTCCATGTACGATAAAAGAAAACTATTTTTTCAGCTCCTAACCTTCTAGTTTAATTTTAGTATTTCTAAGTAAAAAAATTGGCAGGACTCTCGAATTCGGCTTGAAAACTGTTCTAGAGCTTTGCCAAACAGATCCTGATGAGAGTGAAAACTGTTTGACTAGTAAGTTATTTGTTGGGGTTGCAGAGGTTAATTTGTGCTATCTATAAAGATCTCTAACCGTGGTGGAGTTAGCTACAGTCCCATCCGATCCCCTGACTTAGAATCCTGTTCATCCACAGTACACCGACGCTGGCCGTCCGATTAAACCTTGGAACACCAGATGCGCGCCACGCCTGCAGGCCGCCGCCCCTCCTCCCCTCAACCTTATTGGGCGCCCCCACTGTCACAACTCACAACCTCGCTTGGCCTCGCCCACTGCATAGCTCAACGTCCGCCTGTGCGCGGTCATATTTTTGGGTGTCGTGATGGCGGTGGCTGTGGTGGTGGGAGGCCGGAGGGGGGTTGTTTAGTAGAGGCAGGGAGCTCTGGTAGTGACTTGCAAGCGCACATGGGGAGAGACGAAAATGTAGCAACAGAAAAGTAGGGTTCTAAGGGAGGTCTTGGAGAATCATGGATTGATGAGTTATTCAAGTGCCTCCCTAGTATGGGGGTTTGGACAGAGATTCTGTTAAAGCTGGGATTTTTTGTTTGAAGTTTGAACTTTTAAATTTGAGTTTAGGGTCTCTGACAAAGTCAGACCGGATTGTCACGTAGCAATGTTAGCGTGGTTTAGTTTTTCTTTCATAAATTTAGGCATTCATTTTTGTCTACGAAATATTCTCCACGGTAAGTCAGACCGGATTGTCACGTAGCAATGTTAGCGTGGTTTAGTTTTTCTTTCATAAATTTAGTCATTCATTTTTGTCTACGAAATATTCTCCACGGTGTCATATAGAAGCATGCCCGGTTTCTCCGCTTGCTGAGCTGCCAGACTCTAACTCCTGGGTCCCCTCCATACCATCCAATCAAGGTTTTTTTTCATAAATTTAGGCGTCATATAGAAGCACACGGTGTCATAAATTTAGGCGTTCATTTTTGTCTACTAACCAAGGTTGACTACTTGACTCGCCGCATTGGGTCCCCTCCATACCATCCAATCCTGATCGGAAGGACGTCAGGGACTCAGGGCAAAGCAGAATCGCCATTTCCCCAATTCCCACACCTGCCTCTTGCTGAATGCGAGTCCACGGTCAACATGCCGGGCACTCGAGGGAGCGCCTCTATAAAGCAGACGACGAGCCGGCCGGCCGCTTTGTCTCCCTCTCCCCTGCTTGCACCTCCTCTGGTTTCCCAACAGCCCAGCCTCTCTGTCTTCCTCCATCAGGGGGTATGCCCGGTGGTCCCCGGCATACCCTGGGCTCAAGTACTTGGCTAACAACGCTTCACCGCTTCGGAACGCAACGTAGCCCGCATGGCCGCATGCACGCGAGAAGCAGGCACGTCTCCCGGTCTCCGCTTGGCTTCCCTTACCGCCCTCCCGGCTGCGCCGTGCGCCTCTACGCCGCTGGCCGCTGCAGTTGGTTGTCTTGTCGCGTTGTGTTTGAATCATCCAATTTTGCAGATAAGAAACTTACGTACATAATTGTTTTATCAATAATTATTTGTTTATCGGGGAGATTAGGCAAGATCACTCATCAATAGATTAGAGATTGGTTCCTAGTTTGCCAAGATTAATAGTAGAAGACATCACACAAAAGTCGGATGATTAAGTCTCTTTTATGCCTATATTTCAAACTATCAATATTGCATTTGAACTATTTATATTGTAATTTGCTAAATTTAAGATTTATTATGTTATTTAATGTCAGCATAATAAATTATGTTGTAACTTTTACAATTGTTTACCGAATTGGTAAACGGTTTTTACCGAATTGCATGTGAATTTTTTGTGTGGCATACCCTATGTAAAAATCCTAGATCCGCCATTGCTCCATTGTCGACGCCGCCGAGGAAGCATCCCTGATGTACGGACGGCCATGGGGACGCAAGCGCCCGAGAACTACCCCCCTGAAGGTACTGTCTTCCTCCCTCACTCTATCTCTCAACCACGCAAGCATGTCCGATGTCCCTGTTCTGTGCAGTGGCGGAGCTATGATTTTTGGTAAGGGTATGCCGAACCAAAATTTTTATACGCAAACCGGTAAAATCCATTTAGCAATTCGGCAGAGTATCATAAAAATTGCCTCGCAATTCGATAAACAACTACTAAATAGCATAATGCGCCTTGATTTTGCTCTTCCACAACAGGAGTTGAAGAAGAAGCATGTTTCTTTGCAGCATGTTTCCGGAACATAGATACAATGTCCTTATCTCTCTTCATAGTTCACAAATCACAAATCCTACAAATCACAGGTCACATATTGTATAAGTTTAACTAATGAACTAATTCATATCTAATTCTCACTGCCTACAACATTACAACTACACAGCTACATCAGCTGAACTAATTTGAGGAGAAATTGAACAACAACTAGAGGGAAGTTAGGGTTAGAGATCTGGGGGGAAATTGCTTCGGTGGCATACCTTTGCTAGTTGCTTCAGCAGCAGGAGAGAGGCAACGCTGGTAGGGATGAAAACGAAAATGATAATTTCTGATTTTCGGAAATCGTTTTCGAGTTTTTTTCCTGATTTTCAGGCCTAAACGGAAACGGTAGCGGTAATCGAAAAAATGAAAACGATAACGGTAAAAATATTCGGAAATGAAAGCGAAAACGATTACGCCCTCTTTTGATCGTTTTCGAAGATTACTGTATTTAACCGGGAATTTACCGTCAGTAATTACCGATTCAAAGGCCTTTAATCAATGAATCCTAATTTATAACTATACAATGCATTACCATCTGCACACACAAACACATAAGGTAAATATTTTTTTAAAGGAACCCATCTGCACGCGCAAGCACATAAGGCAAATATTTTTTTTGAAAGGAACTATCTATACGGAAGTATTTCATCTGTACAGGAACAAGAAAGCAATCAGCCAATCACTTACTGCGGTTTGACGCATTTATCGTTTTTTAGATATCGTTCTTATGGATTCTGTTTTCGAAATTATAGGAATATCGGCGCCGTATTTGTTTTCGACAATATCGCATCGATTCTATTTTCGAGAAAAAAATGTAAAAGTGAAAGTGATTTGGCATCCTATCAATCTGATCGTTTTCGTCCCTAAAGGTTAGGTCGCCCGGTGTGGTGCGGGACTCAAATAAAACTCCTACTCCTGCCCCTGCAGCCCCACCCAGGGTCCCTCGCCTGTCAACGTCAGTAGTCCAGTCTTTGTCTTTCTCTCCTCTTCCTTTCCAGAGATGGAGGCAGTTTTAGAGCCTCTTTGGCACGGCTTATGCCGGCTTCGGCTTTATCTATTTTGCGCAAATCGAGGCACTGTAGCGTGAAGCCGTTTTGTAAGCCGGAGTTAAAATGAACTAGAAGCCGAAAAAAGCCAGTTTTTCTAGCTTCACCGGTGAAGCCGTTTTGAATGAGCCGTGCCAAAGGGGGCCTTAATATAATTTTGTCCCCATATAGGAGAGCAACTAAGATGTTTAGTACTGTACTTTATTCTTATGGTTATGGACTCATGTACGATGTGAATGATGGATTAGTAGGGGTGGTGAACTGGTAGGAGAGGTGGGATGCAAAACTAGTGGAATATCATAGTATTACTTGGACCATTTTTGAAGTGATATGATCACGATCAGGACCTAGTGTAGTCATCTTTGAGTTGTTCGTTCGTTGCCTAGTATATTCCATCGTTGAACTTCTGAGTTCTTGGTGAGTTCACCGTGTTCATGTCCTGAATCCTGGCCGGGGAGCCCGCGGGACTGCAGAAGGGACCCAGGTGCAGGCGCAGCCGGAGAACCTCCGCAGAACCTTCTTCCCTCCAAAAATTCATTTTTTTTTCTGATGAAATAAGAATTTTCATACTGTCAAAATTTGGGGAAACGTTGGGTTGCGTGCTGCTGAAGCCATCTTCCTCCACCCCGTCCCCTGCATCCCCTTCGCCGCCGCGCGCCCGCCTCCGCCTCCCAACTCCAGAGTCCAGACCCGCGCCGCCGGCATACATTTCGTCCTCCCGGCGACCCCTATGGCGATCTCCATCTTTCCGGATGGAAATGGAAGTAAGCTCGGCGGCGCGGGAGGAGGAGGAGGACAAGGCGCGGACGCGGGGGAGGATGCGTCGGGGAATGAGCTGGTCCTGGATGTGAAGGTCTGTCACTGAATCTCCATCTTCTTGTCTTTATATCGTTACCGAGTAAGGTTATTGTCTGGAAATGGAAAGTAAGAATCTGGATTTGTTTTTCCCCCTGGGAACATGGGGGAAATTTTGTGATGCTAGTCTTTTTTTTTTCAGTTATTAAACCAGCACGATTTTTTGGATAATAAAGGAGTGAAGGTATTGGGGAATCTGAAGTGTTGGTATAGGCACCGTGTCAGTTTCAGAGCAGGATTCGGATTCACTTTGCATCAGACCTTTCAATGCCTGGCCCTTCTTCGGACACTTGTCCCATCCTGGAATTTTTTTACACTATATACTTTTGGATCTCTCTACTCCATCTTGTGGTTCTGTGAACATATTTCTTAAATTGAGTTAGATTTTGATGCTGCCTTAGTTTCCAAACCCATCTTGTACTGAATCTTTTGATGCTGCCTTAGTTTCCAAACCCATCTTGTACTCAATCTTAACAGTCGAACCCCAGCAACTTGGTTGGTACTGAATGTCATTGATCTATGTCTACACTGTACACATTGATAGCCTTTGTTGTGATATATGTACTTCCATTTCTTCAAAGCTTCTTTATCGTAAGTTGACAATGCAGCTGCCCTGGGATCAATGGGCTTTCTTGGGAAATACATTGGCCTCCGGGCCTGCCAATTGGAACAAAGCCATCAATATAGCCCTCAGCACTCTGTCACTTGCATCTGTTTCTATTTTGTAGAGTGAGAGGCTGAAAAAAAATGTTTGATGCCAAGGCATTTGACAATAATTGCTCAATACTTGAAAATATCTTAGCTGTTCTGGTCCCTGTCATAAGGCATTCTTCCTTAAGTGCATGCAGATCACACCAAAATTTCTGATGAACTTGGCTGTAATAGCCTACTAAACAAAGAAATCCCCTTCAGCTCAGTTGTATTATATAGAGTTGTCCATTTTAAACTGCTTTAATCTTCTCAGGGTCTATAGCTCTTGGCTTCTGTGTTGATGCTATATGTTTTTGAGCGGAAAATACAGCAGGGGAGGCCCCCACTGTAAACTTTTTATTAATCAGAAAGAACACCAACAACTCTATACAAGAAGAATAAAAAAGGGAAGCATGCCCGAGGTGGGTGTTAGTCGTTGAACTCTCACTCTCGGTAGTAGCAGAATTCTTACTCTCATCGAGAGAGGATGGCATTAGGAGTTGGGGCAATTTTCTGGTTTATTTCTCACACAAACTCACAAATGCCATGCCAACCTGAGGGGTTGGGGATACATATTTATAGGCTGCTAGCTAGCCAAGCATATGCCAAGATGCTAGTCTAAGATGCTAATATGCTGTCCTAACTAAGATGCTGTCCTAATATGCTGTCCTAGCTAAGATGCTGTCCTCCAGTTAAAGAGATGCTGTCCTCCAGTCAGTTGCTGTCCTTGCAGGCAGTCAAGGAGATAGACAGCCACAAGGACCTGCAACCACCATATGCTGCAGCCAGCCCCACAAAGACCAGCCAGCACATGAAACTTATCCATCATTCTCCCCCTAAGTCTTGTGCGGCGTCTTGTGGGAAAGTTGAACCATCCCGGTCCTGGAGCAGAGCTTAAGGAACTTGATCCTTCCAAGGGGCTTGGTAAGCAGGTCCGCAAGCTGGTCCTTGGTTTTGATGTAGCTCGCCTTGATGCTCCCTTCCTCCAAGCAGCCTCGGATGAAGTGGTACCTCACCCGGATGTGCTTACTCCGTTCATGAAACACGGGGTTCTTTGCCAGGGCCAGAGCGGACTTGCTGTCCACTCTAAGCTCCACCGCTCTAGTGTCTATGTCGAGGAGATCACCAAGCAGTCGAGCGAGCCAGAGCGCCTGAGTCGAAGCGGTGGAGGCCGCTATGTACTCGGCCTCGTAGCTGGACAGGGCCACCACCTGCTGCTTGACCGACTGCTAGCTAACGAGGCACTTGCCGAGGAAGAAGAGGATCCCGCTCGTGCTCTTGCTAGTGTCGATGTCGCCGGCGTGGTCGCTGTCGCTGTACCCGACGAAGTGTGCCGCCCCAGGGCACCTAGGGTAGTAGAGGCCGTGGTCGAGAGTCCCCGCAACGTAGCGGATGATCCTCTTCACAGCCTGCTGGTGCTCCGTTGTCGGTCGCTGCATGAACCGACTAATGTAGCCGACGGAGAATACCAAGTCCGGCCGTGTGTGGGCGAGGTAGCGAAGGCTCCCCACAAGACGCCGGTACTACGTAGCGTCCACCTCCTCCGTCGTGCTGTCGCGGCTCAGCTTCAGCCTCTCCATCGGAGTGAGAGCTGGGTTCCAGTCGGTGAGCCTAGCTAGCTCAACGACGCGCTTGGCGTAGGCGGTCTATCGAAGCGTGATCCCGGAGTCATCCTGGTGCACCTCGATTCCCAGGTAGAAGGAGAGAGGCCCCAGGTCACTCATCTGGAAGGTGGCCTTCATCTCTTCCTTGAATGCCGCCACCTTCGCATCCTTGGTGCCGGTGATCACCAAGTTGTCGACGTAGACACCCACCAGCAGAGCATTTCCTCCACTGCTCCACCGGTAGATGGTCGCATCGTGTGGGCTTTGCTCGAAGCCCATCCCCTTTAGCGTGGAATCCAGCTTGGCATTCCACGCCCTCGGTGCCTGCCGTAAGCCATAGAGGGCCTTGCGTAGGCGGAGCACCTTGCCCTCCTTGCCGGGGATCGCAAATCCCGGCGGCTGGTGCACGTAGACCTCCTCCTTCAAGTCACCGTTAAGGAACGCCGACTTGACGTCCATGTGATGAACACGTCAGCCCTCCTGGGCAGCTAGCGCAAGGAGGAGTCGCACGGACTCCATCCGTGCCACGGGAGCAAAGGCGTCGTCGAAGTCGACCCCTCCTGCTGCACGAAACCTCGTGCCACCAAGCGAGCCTTGTGCTTGACGATAGCACCGGCTTCATCCCTCTTCAGCTTGTACACCCACTTAAGGGTGATCGCACGGTGACCACGAGGAAGGTCAGCAAGCTCCCAGGTGCGGTTCTTCTCAACCGCATCCATCTCCAACTGCATCGCGGCGCGCCATGCCGCGTGTCTCTCGGCCTCTGCAAACGACCGAGGCTCGCCGTCGTCACACGCAAGGTGCAACTGCGCCTCCAGGTCGTGAGGCACCGGTCCCGGCACCGGCTGGTCGTCGAGAAGGTTCTCCATCGTACGGTACCGCAACGGCTCGCCGTCATGGTACGCGTCGATGCGCTCCTCGTCGTGAGAGAGCGGAGTAGCGATGATGAGGACATGACCTCCATACATATGACCATGCTTGAAGAACCATATGGAGACCAAGGAGGTCAGCGAGGGTGTCCTAAGCGAGAAGGAGGCCCAAAGCTCATCCGATTCGAGTCACCAAGGTGGAGGCCCAAATCAAGTTCGAGTCCATCTCGGCCTACAGGACCAGTCTGCCTTAAACTAGTCACCCAGGATGCATCCGGACTCCGTTTTCGACGATCCACATATGGATGGAAAGCTAATTTGATAAGGAAGACAATCCAAGTGGTCTCACGTCAAAAGCTATTCGAAATCAACGGGAATCGTGGTCACAAGTCAGCGCCCAGAATCTGCCAGGGTGCTGCGACACCGTAATTTGGTCCGTTGGACCGTGTATCGTGTTTGGGCCCATTAGGGGGCGCGTCCATGGGGGATGACGCCCAAGACTCTATATTTATCAGCCGTCGCTCTTCTTAGGGTTTGAGTTTTGTTTAGTTCTTGATTTCCTCGTGAAACAGACATCGTTTTGCTGCAACTGTCGCCGCCAAGGCCGCTTGCTGTGAACCAGGGCCCCAGTTCTTGATCTTGTTCGCCTGTGACGATTAGTCCTTTCGAATAAAGACTTGAACTCCTTCTCATTATCATAAGCCTCATATTTATTTGCAATTTCAGATTGCGTTCATCCCGTTCTTGCTTGTGTTCTCGATTCGCTTGTAGGAAAGCCTTCTCGGCGAGGTCAATCGCGTTCGCGTGGTTGATAACCAACGGAGCAGTGGTGTAACGGTTGCGGGGGTTCGAATCAGTCTTGGTTCGAAGCCTAAATCGTGAACGTCGAGTCTCCACCAATCGACGCTATCATACTTTTCGGAAGATCGGGCCTAGTCAACATCAAACGAGCTCAACCGGGCCGTGCTCGACACGAGCTGGTGTTGGAGTAGATGTGCCCGGAGTGGTGCCTGTCGGTGCTGGAGTGCGTGGCGTTGCCGGCTGTGGTGGAGCCGGCGAAGAACTCATCGCAGCCGAGGTCCTGGCTAGAGAGCGTGGTGCTGTCGGAGTAGCAGGCGCCGGGGTCGGTGGAGGCTCGGGGACTAGGGTAGACGCGCCGGCCAAGAAGAGCCGCCTACTCCCCAGCTCCCTCGAAGTGGGACGTACTCGACAGGTGAAGTCATGCGACATCGGAGCCGAGAAGTGCCGCCCACCGCCTTGTCCCACGCCCATCCTCGCCCTTCGTCGAACACAACGTCGCGCGCTTGCGCGCGCACGCCGCGTCTTGGTCGAGGATGCGGTAGGCCTTTGAGCCCTCCGGCGTAGCCGGCGAACACTCCCGGAGTGCTCTCGCCGCCGAAGCTTCTTGATGTCGCCAAACTCCTTGGCTAACGCGAGGGTACCAAGACCCGTAAGTGGGAGACCGCCGGCTTGCGCCCATGCCAAGCCTCGACGCGCCCCGCCGTCGAGCTCCTTGGTAGGCGAAAGCGGTTGAGGATGTAGACGGCCGTCACCACCGCCTCTCCCCGAAGACAGACCGGCATCCCCTCGCTTGAGGAGGGCCCGAGCCGCCCATATAACGGGTCGGTTTGCGTTCGCCGACGACGACGCCGTTCGCGCGGGTCTGACGGGCGCTGGAGTAGTGGCGCTGAATGCCCTTATCGGCCAGAAGACGACGCGAATTCACCGCCGTGAATTCGCCGCCGTTGTCGGTCTTGCGCAAAGACGCGCGCAGTTGCGGCCGCGACTCCGCTTCCGCAGCAGACTGCGGCGCTCGATGGCGTCCCGCAGCTCTCTCCTTTGCCGCCGAGGACCATCACCCACATGTAGCAGGAGAGGTCGTCGACGAGCAGCAGGAAGTAGCGTCGTCCTCCGGTGTGGCGGTGTCATCGGGCCACACAAGTCCCGCACAAGCTCGAGCCTCTCCTTGGCTCGAAAGCTTGCCGCATTGGGGAAAGGGGAGTCGCCCGCTGCCAACACGCAGACGCCGCAGAGCTGCTCCACATGGTCGAGGCACGGCAGCCTCGCACCATCTCCGTGGCATCGAGCCGCCGGTGGCCTCGAAGTGAAGGTGCCCAAACGCTGCGTGCATCTTGCCATGCCTCGTCGTCCCGGACGAGCAGCGAGACAGAGGGTTGTGCTACCGCACGTTGAGGACGAGAGTCGACGGCGCTTCGGTTACCTTGGCAAGAAGGCGACGACGGCGATCCCAAATCCTCATGACTCCATCCCGAACCACCACCTTGTGAACCGTTCTCATCCAATTGTCCCAAGTCGATGATGGAGTTCCTCAACGCGGGGATGTAGTAGACTCGTGAGTGAGCTGTGCTCACGAGACACGGCGGTGAAGATGACGGAGCCAACGCCCTTGATCTCCACGCCGGAGGCATCCCCAAACTTGACGGAGCCTTGGACGCTAGAGTCAAGCTCGGTGAAGAACTCCCGTCAACCGGTCATGTGATGGGTGGCGCCGGTGTCGAGGCACCACCCATCAGTCTTGTCGTTGCCGGAGCTGTCGCCGAGGAG